CTTTTTAACAGCAAGGGAACATAGAGATACTGTCTAAAGACTTCTCTAGAAGCATTAGAAGGTAGAGAGAACCTCTGTATGTCTTAATAATGACCAAGTTGTACTTGCAAGGTGGTGAAATCAATTATAGGAATATTTTTTACCCTGTTACGCTTGTTTAAAAATGAAATTAGTTTGAACAATTATTAATCATTGTAAACGTTCGAATGATGAAGCTTACTATTGAATTGATTCAACTTTTTGAACGATATTGTTGGAGTCATAAGTGATGCTGAGACGATCGATATTGAAAAGCTGCTCTTCGACTGAATCTCCAACAGAATCATTCAGTATTGCTTTCAGCTGGTTATTGAAGGCAGTTAACTGCCACTTCTTGTTACATGTCCAGAAATTGCAATGCAAGGAGTGGTCACATTAATTTAATGATATTCATTGATGTCACCATGGCAACAAGTACTGGTGGAGCATAAGATGGTTCAGTGCCAGTCTTTGAGGCAAAATAACTTGTGTCTAGTGTAAGGTTGTGACTTCATGACACTGTGAAAGCATTCTATGATTCTTATAAGTGAAGTGCAGGGACTATTTTCATCTTATTCTGATGTTTTGACGGCAAGCATGACTAACTGTGTCTGGCTTGATAAACATTTGACAGAAAAGTGTGTAGTATTGGATAGTGAGAAGCAGCTTTAGTATTCTTAGATTGCTTTTACATGTACTGTCATCCTCATAACAAGTCAATGGATGACCATTCTTTTGTGGATCATGCTCATTTGGGCAACCTGTGTCTACGTCTCTCAAAATTTTTCAAAATTCCTTAGCAGGTTTACTGAATGCTTCTTTTAAATCTTTGATTGTTTCGATTTGAAAATCTGTCAGTAGTTTACAATTGTCAGTACATGCTATGTTTACAGTTCTTTTTTTAACCCATTCCCACTGTCTACATCATTTTTATTTTTTGTGTTGCTAGTAACAACATTATCATTTTGTACATCTTTTTTGCATCTTTGCTTAAAATTTCTTCATCATCGTCATTAAAACAACCGTCGATAAGTTTTACTAAAACGTCATCGCCTAAAATTAAACTGTCATTATTGACAGTTGATGGGGCATCTTTATAGCAAGCTTGGTGAAAGTGTGGCTCACAACTGGGCACGTGATATAAAACACCAAATTCCCCATGCCAATGTATGTATTACTATTAACTTTTTTAATTACCCCAAGAAGTATTACAGCAAAATGTCTGCATATATTTAATATTACAGTAACAAGTCTCCTAGCTGCAATTAAATTAATACCAGACAGCAATTGGCAAGGACTTGTCAATATTAATAGCAACTTTCAATTGCTTTTTACTCCTTTCTTTTTACCAAGTTTTTGTCTAATTATTGCTATGTATCTGTTTCTTATATCATTTTTTGGTTTGGCTAGATTGTATCTGGCTCTTCTGTTTTGTCTTAATTTCAGAAAATTTTTTAATGATATTCCACATTCTTTTGTCTCTTTTGCAATATTTTTGCAATGATTTTAGATCTCTTCTTTGCTGATACACTTCTTGGTGGATTTAAGTTACACTTTATTCTATAATTCTGTCTTAGCTTGGCATTTTTTTGTGTTAGCCACAGCAGCATAACACTTTCTAGCATTATTTTTTATTTGCTGGCTGTGAGAGGCGTAATACTTATTCATATTTTTTTCCTTTGTTCTAAATTAGAAGCATATTTATCCTTAAAACCTTGTAATCTCTCTTGATTAGCAATATAATTCTCTTTAAATGCCCCTAATCTCTCTTCACGATTAGCATTATAATTATCTTTAGCTGCATCTAATCTCTCTTCACAATTAGCAATGTAATTATTTTTAAATGCATCTAATCTCTTTCACAATTAGGAATACAATTATTTTTAGTGGCATCAAATCTCTCTTCACAATTAGCAATGTAATTACCTTTAAATGCATCTAATCTCTCTTCACAATTAGCAATATAATTATGTTTAGCTGCATTTAATCTTTCTTCATGATTAGCTATATAATTATCTTTATATGCATCTAATTTCTCTTTACGATAATTATTTTTAAAGGCCTCTAAACTCTCTTCCTGATTAACCATATAATTATCTTTAAAGGCTTGTAGTCTCTCTTCATGATTAGCAAAATAATTATCTTTAAATGCCTTCCATCTCTCTTTATGATGAGAAGCATGATACTTTTTCAAGTAATCTGATACTTTCTGTTTATTTTTGGTCTGATATTTTTTTGACTTGGCTAGGCTTTCATCATGATTTTTATAGTAATTTTGCTTTGATCTCTCCTTTTATTATTAATTGTTTATCCCTGACAGTTGTGTCATCTTCATGAGTAGTAGCAGCTTCAATCTGTGTTATCACACAACTCTGGTGGGTTATGATCCCACACAGACCAATCATTACATTCTGGGGGGTCAAAAAGAACTAAAGGGTTTGTGTCATCCGCAGCAGAAGGTGCTACATACTCTACGACATCACAAAACTCTACGTATGGTCAGATACAGAGCCAGAAATTACTTCCTTCTCTGTAGCATCATCGCACAACCCTTCATTAAGGACGCCATCACTGCATTCTACACTAGCATTGGAACCTAATACAGGCTCTTCAGTGCTGTCGTGCCTTTCATCAACACAACACTTTGCTTTAGCCCTAGCGCGTTTTTCTTTCATCAATTTTCTAAGCTTTTTAGCAGATGCTTTTCCCCTTAAGTTAGGCATGACTTATAACAGCTATATATATATATATATGTATATATATATATATGTATATATATATATATACAGTAAGAGAAAATCAACGTGTTGTTAAAGTCAATTTTCAGTTGTAATTATCAATAACTTGATTACTATTCTCAATTATAGTAATATTTTTAGAAATCTTGTTAATGACCAACAGCACTTTAAGATTAATTCAAGATCAGCTTAAACAGTTTCACTTTCAAGATCAGTCACTAAGAGTAGCACTGTCCACCATAAGATGTCCAAATCACACCCTTTGTAGCCACGCCCAATTCAATAATTATAATAATAATAACATTGTGAATACAAGTTATAGATGATATACAACACAGTAAAATTTGGGCAGATAAGAAGAGTGTTCTTTTAATTGCTGAAGGTTACCTGTATTAAACATCATGCATCAATAACTAAAGAAAACAATTTTACCTACCTTGACTCTTTCATTTTAAAATTTTACATCCAATTAATTAAAGCTGCAGATCTGAGAATGTGCAACCGCACCTAAAATTTGAGCACATGCTTTTTTAATTACCAAAATGGCAGAACGTAGCTAAGATGGTATAATCCAGCAGTCATTGTATCACTTTTTCCTTTCTTAAAGATTTGTTTGATGGGACATGGACCTGCGCATTGACTTTTGGAGTAGATTGGTGTAAGAATTATCCTTGTAGCATCAACTAATACCAAGATACACACTAACAACTGGATTGACAGGACTTGATGATGATGAAGATGAAGATGAAGATGAAGATGAAAAGTGGTGGTTAAACAAAACGGACTGTTCGCCGATTTCTAACTATTTGCTTAGACAAGGTCTAGAGCGACTCTAGTTGTACCATTGGAGTCCTCTGGTCAAGATAAGGTCCTCTCTAAAGTCTGGTAAGCATAGGAGCTCGTTTTCCCAGTATAGCATGGCTGCAAATGTCGTGGCAGCCATTTCGTATCGGGGTGAATCCTACTTAGTAATGCTACTGCGTTACTAATTACATGATATTTATAATATACTTCTGGCCTTTAGGTGTAGAATGTCGTTATAATGGAAAGTCAGGTAACTGCTTTAACGTTTAATGAATGCAGTTATTTACTTTAATTTAACAGCTGTACGAAATAGTGACAAAGAAAATTTAGGTACCTCCTTTGTTCACATTTTACGTAACTATTTTGAAGTTTCAGAAGTCATGGTTTTAGAGACATCAGATAGTACCTTTAATTTTTTTTAATTGTATTGTGTTATTATGGTTTTAGAAGATCATGAGGCAAAGTCTGTTGAGACTTTAGAACCAACAAAGATTGATCATGATTTAGGTATATAAGTACAGTAATTCATGTAAAACATTTATAATAGTTGATGTACCAAAGTATGTTGTAAATGATGAAGAGCCACTTAAAACATCTAGAAAAGATGCAGGTATAACCATTGTTTTCGTTAAAATATGTATATAATTATCACAGATTATGTAGCAAAGAGTGATAAAGAAATGTCAGGTACGAAATTTTCTTTGTAAGTATAAATACAGTTTTTGAAGTTTTCATAAATACCATTATGTCTGATGCTGATGAAAAGGAAAAAGCAGGTTAATAACTACATCTATAATACACTTTCAATATGTTTCATTTATTATAGAGGAAGAATTACCAGAAGAATACAGCACTGATGAGTTAATGGAAACAAAAGTTAAAATAGGCGTAATATGGCATTATTTTAATTGGTATTATGATGCATAATTGTATTGGAATTGTCAAAGAGTAGTGCTGAGCCTGTTGTTATGTTTGCCTTTGGTGTTCATTTTATTAAGGAAGTATCCAGAACTGAACTTTGCTCAGCTGCAAAATCATTACTCTCAAAGGAGCTTAAGAAAAGTCTGGTCAAGGCAGAGGTATCAGAATTTATCACTCCCTTGGCTTAAGGCATTTCTGGAAAGAAATAGAGTGAAGGTAAAAAGTGGTTCTTATGACAATTTGAAAAGAAATGATGTAGTGAAAATTGAAACTTTCTGACTTGCAATGTATTTTGACTTTAATTCGAAGTTACAGTTGACTTTGACAATGTATTTTGCTATTTACACATTTTTGGTAAAGTGCTTCAAAAATTATAAAATAATTTTTACAGTAAGGTAGGGTCCGCAACTTGAAAAATGAAGTTCAGCAAAACAAAAACTTATATCAATGTGTTGTACTTTTTATCCTGATTATAAATCTGCAAGAATTTTTAAAAATGAATCATCTGTTAAGTAGAAAATTCCAATAGTTTTAAAAAGTTGGGCACAGTTTCATGAGGGTTAATTTAAAACTCCGCCCTTCTCTACCCAAAAGGTGTGAGTACTCTGGCCAGTTGCTTAGGACACTTTGAGAGGGTCTATACTTTGTTGTAAGTCACTATAGATAAGTGACAAGTGGATAGCTCTGTATTTACTACAGTGTTAATTTTATTGGGTGTTTGTGGCAGCCATGGCTTGGTGTCTTGTCATGATTGTATCTCCATGTAGCTATAGCAAGGATGATTCCTCATATTGTTTTTAGATAGAGGGGTGTTTGAATATTATAGGGATATACTTATAAAAAAATGGGAACTGTCTAGCCATCTAAGTGAAGCAGTGATAATTTGGGTGTCATAGACACTTCCGATATGGCTTGTTTTTGCTGGCTTTATGGCTTGATATGTAATGATAGCAACTTTGTTTTTTAGGAATTGTAAGCTCTAGTTATGGCTGCAGCTCCTAAAAAGGCAAAACCACACAAAAAGTCACA